ACAATATGGAATGGTCAACTTATAGCAACAGCAAGGATGAGACTCATTTCTTCAACACACTGTCTAACGTGTTTGTGATAATCAACATATATTAAATAAGCTATCTCACTAAGCATATGCCCCAAATTAGGGTACCTGGTTACTTATTTCATAACCACTTCACAGGAAAATAGACCTTTCAAGTTTTTGCAAGTTTTTCTTTAAAGCCATATATGCTTAAGGTGGAAGTAAAGAAGAAATAACATATCATCCAATATACCATGGTCAATATGCATTCATCATTAATATCTGGGTGTAATGCCTTCCAGTCTTTCTTCTGTGCTTTTCTGAAAAGTGTGTTAAGGTCAGATTTCATATGAATCTGTACCCTGCTGTTTTATTTTCCTTGTCATTATAACAAATATTTTCCCATTGTGGGAAACTAGAAGCATCCACTTAGAATCCATATTGCTTTAAGAAGACAACCTAAGAAGCTAATGTGTTAATTTAGAGGTGTAATGAAGATTTCTAGTTTCTAGTTCAACATTTAAAAGCTTAGAAGTCATCACTCCTGTCCTCAGAACAAGCGGATAATCAAGAACCCTTCCTACATCTATCAGAGAGCTGAGGTCACAGGGCAAATCACAGCCCCAAAACTGGACAGAAAGGCAAACAGAATCACAGCTAACCAGGAGCAGAAGCCCACTGCTGGAACCGGTACCAGTAAGGAGGCTCGGTGTAGACAGGCTTGAGAGTTAAAAACTCTGAAGGGCCCAGTCTTAGGAGAGTCTCCTACTTACATTATTTTACCTCCAGGAACCCCACTAGGTTCTCAGAGTAAAGACTGGGGGGAAATTCCCCAGTGCTTCCAGCAGGAGGAGGGGAAATACAATCATTTTGAAATACACAGAGAGTATTCTGTTCTCCGTAACAGAAGCCTGCCCTCAAGGGAAACTATTTTGCCTGAGCCTAACAAACTTGGGTTTCACAAACACCTAACCAACCTGGAGGGAGGAAAATATTTGAATTAATAATACTGAGATATTCAAAATTAATGACAGACACCAAAGTCCAGATAACAACAGGATAAATATTTTAAAAACAAACAAACAAAAAGAACACCTACCACCCGGCCAGGCGTGGCTCAGCGGCTGAGCATCAACCTAGGATCCAGGAGATCCCAGTTCAATTCCTGGTCAGGGCACATGCCTGGGTTGTGGCCCGATCTCCAGTGGGGGGCGTGCAGAAGGCAGCCAATCAATGACTCTCTCATCATTGATGTTTCTCTCTCTCTCCCTCTCCCTTCATTTCTCTGAAATCAGTAAAGATATATTTAAAAACACACACACACACCTACATCTAGGCATATCATACTCAGACTGCAGAAAATCAATGACAGAGAAAAACTTGAAAAAAGCCAGAGGAAAAGAACTCCTTGCCAATAGAGAAAAACAAAAATAACATCAAACCTTGGCCAGTTTGGCTCAGCGGTCAGAGCACCAGCCTGCAGGCTGAAGGGTCCCGGGTTCAATGTGTCTCTTTCACATCGATGGTTCTCCCTCTCCCTCTCCCCCACCCCCTCCCTCTCCCTCCCTCCTTTCCACTCACTGAAAAAACAATGGGAAAAAAAATATCCTCTGGTGAGGATTAAAAAAAAATGGCATCAAACTCCTCAGAATCCATGCAAGAGTGGAGTGAAATACTTAAACTGCTGAAAGCCATGTAATAGGAGTGTTTGGGGGTCCCCAAGACCATCATCATGTTCTAGGACTCACTAGAGGAACTCACAGCCCTCAGAAAAGCTATTATACTCATGGTGATGGATTACTGCAAATTACAGTGAAAGTGTACAGATTAAAATCAGAAAAGGAAAAAGGCACATAGGGCAGAGTCCAGGAGAAACCAGGTGCAAGCTCCCAGTTGTCCTCTCCCAGTGGAGTCACCCAGATGGTGCTTAATTCCCTCAGAAGTGATATGCGACACGCGTGAAGCACTGCCTACTAGGAAGCTCACCTGAGGATTGATAACCATGTTTTTTGTGGAGCAAGCACATGACTGACCTTAGCTACTCAGTCTCCAGTCCTCACCAGAGGTCAAGCTGATACAGTGTGGCCCAAGGTCCCAGGTGAACATAAACAGATGCTCACCATAAATCACACTGTTGGAATAAACTATCAGAGCAGTTTTAGAGGCTGAAGTCTAAGATCAAGGTGTCAGTGGGTTTGGTTTCTCCTCCAGCCTTTCTTCTTGCCTTGTAGATGGCTGTCTCACTGAGAAAATACATTTCTGTGTTCAAGTCACCAGCCTGTGAGTTATTTTGTTATAGCAGCCCTAGCAACCTAACACAGGTGTGAACACCAGGGCGCCAGGCGGGCTCACTGGAAGTCATTTTAGAAGCTGCCACAAAGGATGCTGGGCTATTTTATTGCCAAGGCCCTTTTCTGCAACTAAAAGAGGATTCTCTGCTTTTGCAGAAAAGCACATATTTAGCACTCTCCAATTTGCAATAGTAGCCTGACAGCCATTAAGCAATCTTAAATAAATCTGTATTCAGGAAATTTTAAGCTGTGTGATTTATAGTCACCAGCAAAGATGTCAAAAGCTAGAATTAACATTCTTAAATAGTCAAAACTCAAGTAATCTCAGAGTGCATAACATTAAAAATACTTTTAGATTCACCCCCATGTGTCCTAATTTGTTGTTTTCAAAGTGCTATTTTAGATTGGACCAATTTTGTTTGCCATCATTTCTACATCTGTGCATATGCTAGGCATTCTCTGACCTAATCAGAAGCAACACCACAGTAACAGACTTCCTTCCAACTGAGTTTTTCAAAAAGGATTGACGTATGCTGAATTTCCTACAGCTACAGACTTTCAGAGAGAAGTCTTGCTCTCTTAATAAAAAGAAATAAAACTAATAGTTCTGTGGAGACCTTTTCAGTATAAAATAACTTGTGGGAGTTCTCTTCAAAGCATTTGAATGTTCTAATAATCTAGCTACCCACCCACGTCAACACTATTTATTAGGGCCTCTTTTTACTTAAAAGGAAGTATAACCAAAAAATAATCAAGAAAAATAAGATTAAGCCAAGTTACACCAATTATATTTCTCATTAACGACTGTTATCAACTAAAAAATAAAGCTGTCTTGATCTTTATCATTTCTTACGCTGCATACCACTTCCTAATTGTCACAAAATGAGTTTAAAATAATGGTTGAAATAACTAAAATGCAGATATTGCTGGGCTTCACTGTTTTCATATCTGGAAATGTGCATTTATAATAAGACCCTAGGGGATGCTAGCCTGGGGTCAGCTGAGAACCACTGGTTTACAAGATAACACCTTGGGGCAAGTATTATTCCTATTCTGTGGAAGAAACTGAAGCCTAGAGATTAAGTGACTTCTCCACCAAGGGTAGGAACTAAGTGGCAGGGCCAGGACTCAGTTCCTCTCAGCTCAATGTTTTTGCCTAAGAAAATCCAGGTCAGGGATAATCTTAAGGACTCTCTAGTGTCCAGCACAGAACAGAGACCAACACTTCTGGAACTGGATTGCACTGTCCTAAAAACTAAAATTCAATGAAATGTAGGAGCTTAGCTATAATCAGTTCACAAATTTAAGATATATACACACATTAAAGCGTGTACTAGTCTCAGCCCTATCCTGTGTCTTAAATAAGAACTTAAACTCTGTTCCTTAACTTCCTGAGATGTGAGATCAGGAAACTGGTTCCTTATAACTTAATTCTGGATTCCTTTATTTAAAATCAACTTAGTTTTAGAGACAGCTACAAGTTAACCTGTAAAATATAAAAACAGTTATGTTTGCTATCCATGTTAATATTTTATCAAAATGGACACCTGCCCATGGCTTCACTTCCTCAATTTCTAGAAATCCTGAATGAGAAAGGGAAGGAAATAAATATATACCAAAATCCTAACTAAACAAATATTCACTGATACTAAAATTTAACAGAAAGGAAGGTCAGGGGGAAGAAAGGGCCACAATCTTAAGCAATTCTGAGATTTAAAACTAAGAGTTGTTTTTTTAAACTAGGTGTTTTTTTTTAGCAAAATCCTATGTGCTGAGATTCATGATGTTGAAGCAATTATATTAAGTGCTTACCAAAATTGGTTTCCTGCAGCTAGCTCTCAAAAGTTCCACTTTAAAATCCCCTTATGCAATAGGCTTCCATAATAGTCTCCTACGTCTCCATGGAAAAGGTAACAAAGCTTGGGAAATAGGTTTAAATAGCTAAGGTTTTACATTAGAAATAAGGAAGAACTTTCTGGTAATGACAACTCCAGTCACCTGAAATGACATTCATGATCACTCTCTACTTAAACACTGGACGTTTAAAAACATTCAAACAATGTCATATCTTATTCCAGGCCTACTTTCCTACATTAATTACAATTCCCAACACTAAGTAAATCTATTTTGTTAGACTTACGGAAAAAGCTAAATATAAATAGGGTTCAAATACAGGTAAAGCTCCCAGGAAACCAGGATCTAGAACTGAAAACTAGTTCCCATTATTTATTAACCACCTTTTCTTCTATTAGAAAACAGAAAGTGCTACTATTCTGTGTAGCTCTCAATGGGCCTTGCCCAGCCAGCTCTACTTTCCAACTACCACCGAGGGAAACTTTAGACTCACATTAACTCACAAATAAATCAGATATACACTCCCTGAAGTCATTCCCATCAACTTCCAACAGAGCCATAGAACCCCTTTCTTTCACTCAGAACTGTACTCCAATTCAGTGCAGGAAGTAAAGGTCCAGTTGGTCACAAACTGAGAGCTGTTTCTATTTTCACTACCTCAGAACATCCCAAGGAAGTTATTAATTCAATGCACAGGGAAACTGGAATCCATGTGTTAAGAAATTCTCCAACTTTTTAAGGTAGCATTGAGGCACAAATATAGATTCCCTGTTTTGAAAAAGTACTAAAAGACTAAATTTTTACCTAACAGTCCTACTGTGTTCAATTCAAAAAGGACTCAACACAAAACATTGTTAAAAACATTTATTTTGATAGTCTACCATAAATAAATCAGTAGAGGTTCCACTCTGCGATAGTTGCATCTGAGACGAGACCTGTGCCATTCATTTGGTGAACGCTGGAACGATGTCCCATCTGTTATCCCAGCCGAGCGCACACCTTCCATGTTGCTACTGTCCATTGACTGCTTCCAAATCCCGATGACCAAACAGTCCTTTATCCCCAAAGTAAGCTAAAATGTTTGTGAAGAGGAGAAATAAATTAAACCCCAAAGTAAAACTTCTTACATAGTTCAAGAACTAGAAGATTTTATACATTCACATCTGTTTTTACTCATTTACCAAATTCAGAGTTACTAGGAGATAAGGATCAATCTCACTGAGGGGAAAAAAATCAAATATAGAAACCTGTATTTAAAGAAATACAATTTTATTAGTTTTGAGTGTGGTTACCTGTTACATAAACAAAAAGGAATATGTAAGTCGAGGTCAATAAAAGATAAATGATAATGATTTTCATTAACATGAAGGACTGATGAACCCAGAAAAAAAAGCTATATTACTAGATGCAACATCACTAAAATTAAGAATAACATTTATTGGGTGCTTTCTATGGGTCAGATGCTGTACACAAAGTTCACAACTCCTAATTATGATCCCTATTTTAAAGATGTTGAGACCAAGGCTTTGAAATGGTTACATATTGTAAGTGTCAGAGTGGGATGTGACCCAGGTGCTCTTAACCCTTAGTCCATACACATCCCAAGAGCAATCAGCCTTCATTTCTGCCTCAACAAATTCTTACCCCAAACACTCCAGCCACTAACTTGCCCAAACTCCTGAATCATTTGCTAACTAAGCAAACAGGACCCAGGAAGGAGACAAGAGATATTTTATTTTTAAATCCTGTTGATTAAAAATGTGATTTCTAGTAATATGGCAATAAAATTGCATTACAAAATGACAATTTGAGTATTCTGTAGTTTATTTTTACAGAGTATTTTCCCTTTGCCTGAGAAAAAAACCAATATGCATCTATTTCCAATTTTCAAAAGTGTATTAAAATCTCCCATGAGACCCCAAGTATTTCTGAATACAGTTAAGATACGAAAATAAATTATTCATCCATTAAGATCTCCTCCTCAACAGAAATGAGCATCCAAAATCAAGAGAAAGAAAATCTTCTTTGGCCTTATGCAAGTAACGGGAACAGCGATTCTCTCGGTTAACTTTAGTGTTGATAGATGATTTTGCCTAAATAATGTTTTACTAAGATATTGCCCTTACTCATTCACACGGCATTTTAAATAAGGCAGTATCACCCAACATTTGCTGACCACGTACAATGCACCATCCTGGGTGAGAGGACACGAAAATGAATGTGGTCCTGCCTGGTCAGGCGTGGCTTAGGAGTTAAGCATGGACCCATGAACCAGGAGGTCATGGCTCGATTCCCAGCATGGGGCGTACAGGAGGCAGACAATCTCTCATCATTGATGTTACTATATCTCCCTCTCCCTTCCTCTCTCTGAAATCAATAAAAATATATTTTTTTTAAAAAAGAAAATGAATGGGGTCCTAATCCCAAGGAACCCAACTACGTAGCAAAGGAAAAACCAGTAAATCATGAACTAATTATTACATAAGTATTATATAAATTCATACATAAAAAACAAACTTTATATTAATGAACAATAAATTTTACACTAATAAAAACCCCAGCAGATATCATCGTTTCTTTCAGGGTACAAACTAGGCAACTCAGGAAGACCTCTGTAGTCAGTTTCCCCAGCACAAACAGCACAGTACATGAAATGCTTTAACTGTGTAACCCTTTTCAGGCACTCAGCCAGCTTTCCTAAACACAAATACTCCTGGAAGGAAACCAGCAGATGCCTTTAATGACAGAAAAGGGAGTCAGCACCAGAAAGGAGCAATGAGAAGACACTAAGGTGAGGAAATGAAAAAGCAGGGGGTGGTTGCTCCACCTGGTCTGCAACTAGGGTCAACTCCTGATGGGATAAATGAAGCCAAAAAGTAAACAGAAGGGCACATTCTATCCCCACCCCTGCATCCTGGATCACCTGGGCCACAAAAAAAGCCATTTCCCAGCATGCAGGTCCAGTCTAAAAATCGTACCACAAGATGTAATATTAGAGATTCCTGTCCAAAAGCCCACCAAGAAGTCAGGGTCATCTGGCTGATTAATTCAACACTTGTTGGCAGCTACTTTAGGTGCTTACAAAACAAAATATAATGTAAGCACACAACAAGCATAAGGCAGAGAATGACAGAAAAGAATACTATGGGAACACAAAAACAGAGCAGTTTCAGCTGGGAAAAGGGGGAAATGACGCAGAGAAGAGGTGACATCTGAGATTGGGCTGTTCGAGAAGTAGGCTTTCATTACATGGAAACTGAGGGGAAGGAGCATTCCAGGCTGAGGGAACACAGGCATATGGATGAAGACATGAAAACACACAGCTCATTCTGGGACTAGCAAAGAGCATCTCGCAGCTAGAGCATAGTTTCCACAGGAGAAAGAAATGAAGTAAAGGCGATCACATAACAAAGATGAAAAATTACTATTAACAGTTTACTGCTCACATGTTACTTGCCAAGTACTGTTAATACTTTACATACAGCATTCTTAATCAATCTTCATGACAATCATATGAAGTGGTATTATACCCAACTTATAAAGAAGAAACTTTGGCTTAGAAAGGTTAATAGTCTCTTGGAGAAGGATATCTGATGTCAACTGCCAGTGCCTGGAAAACGTTCATAGTTTGACCAGGTCACCCACATCTGATAATGTTTCCCTAAGGAAACAACCGGTCTAAGGTCAATCAGCTAGTAAATAGCAGATACATTACCTCAAGTCCCCATTTAACAAAAAAGGAAATCAGCACTTCAAAGAGTAAAGGCTAAGGAAAAAGGAACGTAGTGGTGATCTCTGAAAGTGGTTTTAACAAGCCAATCACAGGAAGGTTAACCATACGAGTTAGAGGGAGAGAGGGAAGTGAGGGGAAAAAAAGCACTGAGTGAAGACCATTTATTAAAGCACTTTATTAGCGAAAAGAATAACTGCAGAAATGGGCAAGTTGGAGGTACATATGGTGATAACCTCAGGGAAAAAACCCTTTCCTCTTAGAAAAGAGGCTGGCGCCCGGCCAGGCGTGGCTCAGCGGTTAAGCGTCGACCTAGGATCCAGGCGATCAGGGTTCGATTCCCGGTCAGGGCACATGCCCGGGTTGCGGGCTGCAGCCGATCAATGACTCTCTCATCATTGATGTTTCTAGCTCTCTCTCTCTCCTTTCCTCTCTCTGAAATCAATAAAGATATATTTAAAAAATAAAAAAAAATTTTAAAAATAAAGAAAGAAAGAAAAGAGGCTGGCAAGGCAGAGGGGGTGAAGGAAATTCCTATCAGATGGCATTGTGCTAAGTACAGTAAGAGGTAAGATTATCTGGGGGTGGCCATGTGACCCAGCAAAGAGAGTAGGCTTTGGAGACAGACATACTCCACCACCTACCGACTGTGACCTGCTGTGACCAAAGGACTGAAGTGACAATTAGAAATATTGTATATAAAGTACATGAAACATTGTTAAGTGACAGTAGTAATATTGCTATTATTATTTTCTGCCCATTCTAGAAAAAATGGCTTCAGTTTGAATAAACTGAAGACCTAGAATAGCTGGTGAGAAGTCTTTAGGGCAATCCACAAGAAATGTCTGTAAAATAGGGGGTCAAGCTGAAATCCCACTGCAGCTGTGCAGGGGCCCTGGCCATCAGAGTGCCAAGAGTATCAGTCCCTTCTGCAGAGCAAACCTGCCTGATCTCGATTCTGCCTTTATATATACATATGTGCACACATGCATAGGAATAGTTTTCGTAAGTATACACATATACATATGTGTCAGTATATAAATATGTATACTCTGTGTGTAGTTTTCACAAGTGCTTATCAAACACTGGCAAGATTGTTTCTGAGAGAGAAATGTGACAATGCATTTTCAGAGCCATAAGTGTTCATACCTTTGACTTATTAATCCCATGAGAATTTATCATAAGGAAATAAATCAAAACCTATAAAATCTATGTGCATAAAAATGTTCATTACATTGTTATGTAAAATATTGAAGAACAGAAAAACCTAAGTCATCAACAACTGGAAAATATATGGGATATCAACTCAAATTTTAGGTGAAGAAAATAAAGCCCTATGTACTTTTTTTTTTTAATTCTCACCGGAGGATATTTTTTCCATTGCTTTTCAGAGACAGTGGAAGAGAGAGAGAAAGAAAAACATCACTGTGAGAAAGATGCATCAACTGGTTGTCTCCGCGGGACACACCCTGACCGAGGCTGGGGATCAAGCCTGCAACCAAGGTACGTGCTCTTGACCGGAATCAAACCTGAGACACTCAGTCCACAGGCCGACGCTCCAACCACTGAGCCAACCCTGCTAGGACAAAATCCTATGTACTCTTATTAGAATGATATAAAAAATATTTATCTGAATAAGATTACGACGGAAATATGGAAAATTAAAAAGTTTACCTTTTAAAGTGGTAGGATGATAAATTAGTTCTTTTTTAAAAAAAATGCTTCACCACGGTTATGACATGATACAGTAAATAAAAACTAGGAAGGGGAGAGAGAGTACTTACCTGCTAACATAAGCTAAATTGGTCTGAAAACTGCTGCAGTTTTCCAACAGCCCCAAACTATAGTGACTAGCAAAGCTCCACTACAACGCCTACCACTGCTACTCTTTTGCTTCCCAGCGACCCAGTACTAATATATGAACATTTGCCCTGAAATGTTTATTTGTAAGAACAGTACCTCAAAACAGTTGGTTCAGGCATTCCAGGATCGGCACCCCTCTTAAATCCTGGGAGACAGGAGGAGGGAGAAGAGAAAAAGAGAATAAATACTAATTAAAACCCCAGCAGACAAAAAATTTGCAATCAAGACCTTCTTTTTCAATAACCTAGGGTAGCTGGGATGATATCCCCATCTACCAGCTTCATCTCAATTTGCCTCTGCTATAGAAGGTCCAGTCTTCATTAGAGATGAGATTATGTCCAGGACCAATCAGTAAGGAAGACAAACTACGTTCTTCCTCCTATATGCATAACTGAGCACAGCAGCCCTTAGCATGTCCTATTTTTCATTAGTCATTTCCCAGAAAAACGATATCACAACTACCAAATCACACTGAAGGAAGGACTACAAAGAGCAAAAAGATTTTTTTAACAGCAGGCTGTCAACTATTTACTCTAATCCTTGATAGTTATACAAAGTCACTAAAATCTGGGAAAGTAAGGATTTTTTTAAATTAAAAAAAAAAAAAAAGTATTCAAAATAAGGGAGGAAAAATATCTTTAAGTCCTGAATACTTAAGTTTCCAGATTATGCACTGGTTTGCAGTTAATGGGGAAATGGGAGCCACAGCTGCCTAAAAAATGTCCAGCACAATCAAAGGCTAAGCGTGTACTTTCTCTTAGGCAATGCACGACATCTAAAACAAAAAGGAAGCAGCACCTCGTTAAAATCATAGGATTTTAAAGTGTGAAACCGAGTTTTAGAAAATGTCAAACTTAATGCTCAAACTGACAGCGCTTGGGGCTCTTTCCTTCCCACTACATTGCCTGAATCCCGCAATATGATCAAAGAGAAAAAACTACCCAAGGCTAGAAACAGGATCAAGTCCCAGTGTGCAGCCCTAGGTGAAAATAATTGCCTGAGCGCTTAGCAAATCTCTGCAGTACAGCATAAAGGTTAAGAGTATGGGTCTTGCTGTCCCATTGCTTGAGTTCACAGCTCGCTCGCTGAACAGCTGTGTGGCCAAAAGGCAAAGGAACAAAACTTCTCTGCCTCGGCTTCCTCACCTGTAGAATGGGTTCTGTCCTAAAAACCATCCTCGCCCATCGTCATACAGGTCAGAAAGCACAGGCAGCCAACAACTACTGTTGTAATCCTGCTTCAAGGCTGTGCCGTATCCCCGTCGACAGGCCTCCTGGCAGCCAGGCCCACCCGGGGAGGCGAGGGCACCGCCCCGAAAGCCCACCTTGGCGCCAAAGCGTGAAATGTGTCGCCTTCACAGGCATCAGGTACTCTAACTCTCCCAACCAGCCTGCAAAGTATGTCACCTCCATTTTACTGACCTAAAAACTGAATGGGAGGGGTTACATGAGTGGTTACAGGCCATAAAAATACTAAAAGGTAGGAACAGGAACTTGAACTCAAGGTGGCCCGGCCCCGCTTGGCCCCGGCGGCCTCACAGGACCCGCCGCGCGGGGTCACGTTTCTCTCTCCCGCCCTGGAAGCCAAAAATGGAGTCGCAGCCTCCGCGCCCGCTTCCCTCCCGTCTCCTCAAGGCTCTTCTCCCACTGACCCAGGTAAATCACGAGCGGGATAAAGCCCCAGCGGATGGCAAACTGGCCGCCCTTGAAGAGCTGCTGCAGCCTCTGCTTGGCCTCTTTGCTCAGCTTCACCATGGTGACGGCGCAGGCGGCGCGGCGACGACCCGCAGCAGGCACCGAGCCGAGAATCCGAAAAAGGAAAGGAGGTGCGCAGGCGCCGCACGCGATTTTACGGCAAGAGTCGTGAGCGTCGCCAGCAGAGGTCGTAATTCGTCGCCCTTCACCGGCCTCGCCAGCCCCGCCCCCGCGGCACGGTCTATTGAAGGCGCATGCGTGCCCGGTTCTCCGCGCTCGGAGGTTCAAGTTCACCTGAAAGCTTAGGAATCGCCTCGTTGCGCCGGCTGCAGGGTCCTGGAGGCACAGTTATTTCCGTTTGGGACGCCCTGTCCCTTTTCACAGACTTACGCACTTTTTAAAGTGCATCTCCAGGTGCTCCTTGCCTGACATAGAAGAAACATTTAAATTCAGAAGGACTGGGTTTTAGGATAAAAGATTCAAGATCCACTGCACGACCTACATATTCCCTAAAGGCACCATATTCTCTCGCATCCTTTGCTGTTATCTCCGCCAGAAATGCCTTTCCACAGCCCCCTTTTTAAGTCATCTCCTCCANTCTGCACAACCCTAAAGGCACCATATTCTCTCGTATCTCTTGCTGTTACCTCCGCCAGAAATGCCTTTCCACAGCCCCCTTTTTAAGTCATCTCCTCCAAGAATATCTACTTCCACATCTGTAAAATGGGAAGGGAGTAACTACTTGTTAGGGGCTGAATCGTGTTCCCCACCCCCCAAAAATTTAATATGTTGAAGCCTCAGCCTCCACTGGAGGGGTTTGGAGATAAACTAAATAAGGTAATTAAGTTCCCATAAGGGGGGGGGG